AAATTTCCAGTAGACCTATATAAACAAATATAATATGAATTTCTTAAAATTAATCTGCAAACTTTCCCTTCCTCTACTTCATGGAAATGTATTAAATTGTTTGGTTAAACAACTTTCTCTTTTCCTGTTTACTTTAGTTCTACATTTATGCAAAAGCAAATTATTGCAGAGAACTGCGAAGCGTATTGAATATTAAGTATAAAACTAAAAAAATAAATATTATGTCAGATAAAAATAACATTAACTTTTTTTTATTCAACGTATTTTATAGACTGTATTTATATAAATAGTTTAAAAGATTCCATTTACAAGTTTAAATCGTTTTTCTTTCCAATTTCTTAAAAAATTAAAATTCCAAATTTGTTATATCAATCTATCAGATATGAATGTTTTCACTTGCAAATTATTTACAGTTCTTCTAAACAGAAGGATCATTAATATTAGAAATCTATTCACCTTCCCTTTTTACCCTACATTTTAACAAGATTTAACAAAACAAACTCCTGCTGTTTCTACAATCAACGTAGACTTATTCTTTTTTACTCTCACGCCCTCTCTTGCTTATTTTAATTGCTTTACAAAAACACAAAATAGAAGAATAGTCATTAATTACTGGATGATACGCATTTCATGCCGCAATCTTTACATTGGCCATTCCCTTTGTATATTTAAATTATTGTCTTAAATTTAAATTACATATTGCAAAAATAAATAAATTGGATTACTATTGATATAAATGATAATAAATATTCTCACCGATTGATCTGCACTTTCTATCTTGGCTTTTGTACAATTTTCTTCTCTTTCTGACATTTTCAATCACTTGCTGTTCAATTCCAGTTTCCATCACAGCCCGATTTCTTATTCTTACTGATCCAATTTACATTGTGAAAACAAACACGAATAATTAAATTGGTACTGATTACTGAATTTATTTTAGTTTGTTTCTTGGAAATGATTTCTTTACTATAATAAACAAAAGTTAGTTTATTTTTAGTTTATTTTCAAGTTTATAACAAAAACCAGTGAAGTTAGGACTAAAAAAAATTATTTTTAAATACAATTTTTAAATTAGACTCGAGAAAATTCGATTAGTTGGTAAAAATGCACTTTTGTAGGATTCAAGATACTATTTTTGATAATAGATGGATTTTTTTGTAAATTTTTAGTATTCTTCTAAATTGACAATTAATATGAAAAAGCCCACTGGCAGAATTCGGGGATTTAATGATCGGAGATTTGTAAATTGCTTTGGTACGCTTAGAATGAATGAAGATACAAAGTCTCATTGTGAAAGAGAAGATAGAATTTTGAGCGTGTTAAACTCTCTGACCGACTCGAGTAGCAATGAAGTAGCGGGTGCAGTGCCCTTAGGAAGAAACGATCGAGCTTTCAGTACTCATGGAAACGCGCACGGAGGATTCAACCGTCAGACTGCAGGCAGGGTGTCACCCTCGCTTCAACCCTTGGACCGATTTCCACCTCGACCACTCTTCTATCTTTTTCTCACTCGAACACTCTGCATTTCATTCACTCTTTCTCTTCATTCTTTCGCGCATGCTCTTGAAAATCTACTCATCCCAAACTTTCTCACTCTATCCTACCTCCTTTCATTCTCTCTCTCTCTCTTTCTCTCTCTTCTTGCTACCCCTCAGAGGCTCTCATTTTTCTTTGCAGATTTGTATACACGAAAAGAGCTCTTCTCACCAACAATTAAAAATTTGCAATTTGCAAACTTTCAAAATAGGAATAAACGCAAAAAGTTCATTAAAATACACGAAAACAGAGAAATTGTTAACAATTTTCATTTTTTGTTTAAATGTTACCTGTGCATTTAAATTGTGGTAACAAAACCACTTAAGGTGTTTCCTGTGACAACAACCTCAATTGTTGAGCCAACAGAACAATTCCCTTTTCTTCAGTCGTTAAAAGATTTCACTGCACTGTCAGTTTAGAATCTTGAAATTTAAAATATCTCGTTTTACGCAACTTCATTTCTGATGATGGGCTCAATAAAAAGAAATGAAATTTAAGGTATTTACTTTGGGTATATACTGAAAATAGTTAGCAAGTTTAGTACAAAGGACTTTTTAGGTATAAAGCTTTTTTCTCTGCTCATTCTTATCACATGACTCTTAGAACTAAATCCTCCTCTTTTCATTCTACTTTCTCTTCTTCTCAACGTTTTCTGCAATTTATAGGAGTGCCCTTTGCCTTATCAAAAATGGCATGCTCGAGGCTTTTCTGCTCTCGAAATCACAAAAAGAATTGATCTCTCGGCATTTCTTGAAATTGTATAATATTAATTTATAGAAAAGGAACTCGCATATTTATATACATATATATATAGTTGAATTGCCATATAAAAATGATGTCGTTTAATTTGCACGCATGTCATCAATCATGATGCGATTTCTTGAAATTGCAAATTATGCAAATGCAGTTTGCAATGAGAGTTACGGAGGCAAAGACGAGAATCTTGAAAAGGCTGAAAAGGTTGAAAAGGGTTGCGGTGGTTAGGAGATAGGACATTAATGAAGAGAAATATAATAAGAGCAACGCTTGGAGGGGGAATTGCAAAACGTGTCGTTTACGCGACAGGCATTAAAACTCGACAGTGAGCGTGAGTGTCATACACGTCGTTGGCACTCCTGCCAAACGGTAACTGCGATAGCAGTGGATAGCAGTTTCTTCTGTCGTGCTTTTCAGCCCTTTCTCATATTATGAAGCCAAACCGAGGTTTCGTGAATTGGTCTTTAGGCCTGGCATATTAACACGAATGTAGCATAAGGTAAAGTTTCATTGTCCGCCTGATGTAATGGGCCTCGTAAGGCCTGCTTACCTACCAACTTTCAGTGCTTTTCGACTTTCGTTCCTCTTAACATTTCTGAGCCAACTATCACGTGAGACTCTCTTCCACTCTCTTCCACTCTCTTCTGTGGAACATGGCCAGAAAAAATATCGTTCCGGAACGATCAGGTTTATGCGATAGTTTCAAGCTCGACCATTATTTCAAAATTTCTTCATTTTGCAATAGTTTGCTCTTTAAAAATGAATTGAATTTTGAAAAAGATTTTGAACAAGATAAAAGTATTTAAAAGCACGACGAGTTTAAAGAAGAGTAAGATGCAACATGTGAGAAGTGTTTATAATTCGACAAAGTCTGTGCAAAAGCCATTGTCGTTATGCGAGTTGGTAAGCTGTTAAAATACATCCTCGTAACTTCATTTACAAATAATACGTTCAACCCTGTTAACTCAGGCCGACCGTGCATGTACATATATTGCATTTTCACATGCGGGAGCTAGTGAAATTATGCCTACTTTATTGATTTGCTAGGCAGCGCTACTTAACGGCAGATTGCCCTAAGAGGTTCTGTTAAAATGTTCAATAAATTTCAGCTAATATCCCATACATTCTCCTTTTGAATATTATCAAATAGTCTCTTTATTCCATTTCCAGACTCTTGCCAAATCGTATATTTGAAAATCTAAAATAAATTATATCACGAGCAATTCGATTACTATAAAAAACAAGGTATTTTCCAAGTAAAGCCTAGCTTTTTCAAAACTTTAAAAAAAAGGAAAGAAATGAAAATTACAAAATTTCAAAATATAAAACATGAAAAGAAAAAATCCCTCTCCCCAATCACAACTGTGGACCGAAACATTCACATCACATTAATAATACAAAAAGCTATAGCTTTTCATCTTGTTTGATAAAAGAATTTATTTCTATAATCAATGTAAAATAACTTTAGAAAATCACTCGAAAACTTGAATACTATATCTGATTGTGTATTAATTATTAATTTTTCATGTAAATTTAAATTAAATTCGACACATAATGAATATAATTGACGAAAATCCATCTCTCTTTTTACGTGCGGGATGATGTAAAAGAGGACGAAAAAGTGCTTGTTTCAGCTTATTAAATGCGAAACGACCTTAATAAACAGCCTTATCAGAACCCTTGCCAGCCATAAGAGCCAAATTGCACCCTCGAATTTAAGAATTATCTTATACGTTTTGGTACGTTTAGCAGAACGCTTGCACTGAGAAGAAACTGTTACATTTTCTTTATGATACCTGTAAATAGCAAAATAAATTGAACAACAACAACAACAAATGTCTGCTTACATAGGCATTGAATTCAATTATAAGCACCCTCCGAAATTATTATTTTTAATAAATAAATCTTAAAAATCCCCTGTTTTATTTATAATTATATACATTGAGGTAAATTATATAAATCTTTAATTAAAACAAATAATTTAGTAGGCTTTGAGAAGAATTTTTATTTAAATCAAATTATTCGATTTAAAGAAAATTTTTCTCTGGGTGTGCAAAGTTGGATAATATTTTAGAAAGCTCAAAGAGGGTAGGGCATTTAGTTTTCGAATTTATAGAGACAAGTAACAATTTAGATAGGACCGTATCTACTTAAGCTCAATGCAGATAATTATTTGGCCAAATACCTAATTAGTTTTTCGTCACTAGTTAATCCCTACCGATGCTTGTAGCTAAGTTTCGGATTTTCTTGCGGCTGAGTTGGCTCTTAAATAGGGTTTTGAGATTAACTGTGATATTTAAACGAGACACTCGTGTCTGGCGTCATTTGCTGCTTGCTGTTATTATTATTGTTGTTGCTTAGCCTCCGCCACTGCGCCATTACAGTCCCTTTCTGCCTCAACTCCGAAGTTGGAGCTTTTTTCTCCTTCTCCTTCTCCTTTTTTTTCTTTTTTTGACTCGAGAGGAGAGATTAATTTTATTGCCCGACATGTAAGCCAAGTATCAGCTTTGATCCAACATCCAAATTCATAAATTAGTCACAATTTACTTTTAATTTCTTATTAAGATATTTTAGTTATTTTTTAGTAACATGTTTTCCGAAATAATAGTTGAAATTAATATAATTTAAACGAACACTTTTATTTGCAAAATAGTATATTTCGTAACGAGTGCGAGCAGTTGTCAATTTTTGAATGAGCACTTTTTTTGGAACAAACTGTAGGCGAAGCTTCGCTTCGCTCGTTCAAACATTGGCAACTGCTCGCACTAGTTACGAACGATATTTTTCATAACAAGGTGCAAAAAAGTGCCCCTTTTTGCACCGCGTTATGAAAAAAAATTTAATTATTTCTTTCATCGCGCGTTGAATATTAATTAAATAACAATTTCATCAGTTGTATATTACACTTTATTATATTCTCTCGAAATCTGTAAACAAGTCACTAATGTCGAATCAGTTAAAAACAAGTAAAAATTTACTTATTCAAACTATTGGAATTCAGATATTAATTTGACATCAGTGACTGAAACACCGACTGAAAAAATTTTCAATAATCTTTTAAAACGTTCGATAAACTTTAAAATACACAAAACAACCTTTACTACATACGTATGGGTCCTTTTTTTATAAAAAAAGGTGTTTACTGTAAACATTATAAATCTTGATTATTATATACTTCTTTAATAAAGAAGACTTTTTCAATGAAATATATAGCTTTAAATATTCCTTATAAATTAGAAAACAAAAAAGATTTTGACTTTTAAAAAATGTTTACACACATTTGTAATTGAAAAGGTGAAACTTGAAAAAGCATAATATGCAGAATTGAATGATTAAGATGTTATATAAGTCGGTCATTTACATAAGATTCTTCGTTCTGACTGTACCTGTTATTTTTTGCTCGACAAACATTTTCCTTAAGAATGCTAGATCCACTTCGATGTCTTCTTCGAGGAGGTGTAGGCACATTATCAACATTCTCAACGAAATTCGCAAAGTTGATGCGATGCATTCTACTCGGTTTCTCAGGTGCTTCCTCCCCACGAATCTTTTCGGTTTGAAACTCTTTGGAATAACTCAAAATATTGTAACTGTTGCCACTGTTTTCTGACAAGTCGTGTAGAACTTGCTTCTTTTTTTCAAACGGTCTGCCGTTGTCGGTATTTTTTAACTCCACTGCAACAATTTTGACTTTATCTTTAGCACTATTATTTGATTCTGGGTTTTGACATTTTTTCTCATCTTCTTGGATAGCAATGTCACTTTTTTTATCTGTAAATGTTCTCTCTTTCTCTAGAGGAACAATGCAAGGTTCTATTAAGTTTTCAATCGGTTTCGTCTCCATGTATGTTGAATCATCTTCCCTTATTTCTAGAGAATCGTCGTGATCTTCTTCTTTTTCCAGCATATCTGAAAGAGCAATTTCAAGTTCTAAAAGACTAGGTGGACTAGAAGCAGCTTCTTCCTGGAGAACTTTTAATAAAGTAGAATGATCATTCTCAAGAACGTCAGCCTTAATTTTTGGCTCTGGAGTTGATGGAGGTGTACTTAAAATTTCCCGGTCACTTTCTTTAGTACCAACAACATTTTTTGTTATTCGGTTTTGAACATCCTTGGCTAATTTTTTTTCAAAGTCATCTTCTTGATCGTCATCTGCTTTGTCTAAATCACTGTCCACAGCTTCCAGCATTTCTCTGGGCAAGGATTCCTGGGAAATGGTTCTGTGAATCCGTGACTCTTTCTTCTCACAACTTTCAATGTCAGAATTCGATTCTTTTTCTTGAGAACATTTATCTGTAAAATAAACATTTTATAGTTAGGTACAAGTTGTTTTCACGAATACACCTGCATGTTATTAAAAGAAGTAGGAAGCTGGAAAATATTCATACACATTTTATGTTATCACCTGGTAAAATTGCTTTGACCTCGTAAAAAACTTGACTGAACAAATTAGATGTGTCAGAGGAGAAACAGTTTCTCGTGTCATCTCCCATTTTCTCGTTTTTCTCTTCGTGACTACCTGCCGTTGAATCGAGCAAACTGGAACTACAGTATTACATCAGGTATTTAAAGTTAAATTTTTGTGCTTAATTTAATATTGTTCCACTTAATAATTTTAGGTATATCAAACATCTATTTATAGAAACTCACCTTTTCAATTCTTTTGACAAACACATCTTCGCATCATCCACGGTTTTAATCGGAGTTGAGGCTTTTATATCTTGAGATATCAAAGAATCTTTCAAAGTATCTGAGAAATCTAAGCTATCAGAATTAGAAGAAATATTCGTGTCTACTACTTGTTCATTATTTTCATCAAAGTCCCTGTCTTCAGACTGAGTTCTATTCTGAAAAACATATTTTTTCCAAATTAATAGTTTAGTTGGTAAAAATAGAAACTTTCACGATAATAAAAAATACCATTGATTTATCTTGGTTGTTTTCAAGTTTATTCACTTGGATATCTTGAAAGTCTGCTTGCCACACAATGTCTTCAAATCTTTCGTTAGAAACCTACAATTATTAACATAAAAATTTTTAGAGTTTTTCCAAACTCTGACTCACTAAAAAAAAATGTTTAAAATAAAAAAAGAGAAATAGAACCTTAGAGTGGGGAGTAGAAGTGAATGTTTCAAGTGGTAATGAGCCTGCAATCGCTTTTCTCAAAAGTCTTTCAGATGATACTTTAACTTTCTCATTTTCCGAGTTTTTATCATTTCTGTCCCCGGCGACTTGGAGTTGGTTATAATTCGGTAAACTGATTGTACTCTCATTCTTTGATCTTTTGTATACGTCCAGATTATGTACTACATCCTTGTTGAAATGATTTATAGTTGAAAAGTTCTGAATCGATTGACTACTTGAGAATCGTCTCTCATATTCCTCCTCCTCCTCCATCTCAAGTTTGCTTCTCCTTCTGACATTTTGATTATCGATAAAGCTTCTTTCTTCTGACACTACGTCGCTTGGAATTGGAATTATCTCCTTTGTCCCATTCACCTGCTTTTCAAACAAGAAGATTTCTTAACTTTTCTCCTATGAAACTACTTAAAAATTCAAAATTTCCAACTTTCCTATCAATACTGTTTACACTATATTATTAAAAAAATATTTTTCTTCTATAATGCTCAAGATGATAAGTAAAACTTATCAATTAGAGGCAATATTTGTTTAAATAAAATAAAGCGAAAATATCCTAAAAGTAGATTGTATTTTTCACTAACCTTATCAGAATTTTGAAAGGACTTTATATCGATTTCCGAGTGTTCGGGATATAAACAGGAACTTGTCAAGTTTGACGTTTTCACTGAAGAGTATAAAGGTTCTGCATTTTTCGAGAGAGATTTTAACGGACAATGATTATGATTCTCAATAACGTCATCTGGTTTAGGAGGCAGGGGTCGGCTTGTAATTTTTTTCCTTTTCCTTGGTGGAGGAATCGGTGTTACATTTTTCGTCAATTTTGGATCTATCGTCAAGCAATGAGAAAGTAAAAGCATTTGAATTGAAATATTGTCAAGCTTGCAAGTGCGAGAAGCTTTATGTTCATTGTAACTTACAGGGGTAGAGAATAGCGTTGGATACTTCAAGATTAACATCCACCCACTCGCTTGGGTGAAACGGTTTATCCGTTGAATCTATACTGCACCCTCTTGCATAACCTATTTCTGAACTGCAAGTAAACCAAATGCAATGTTTTTAATACATTGAATAAATTAAATCCCAATTTAAAAAGTATCAAGAATCATGAAATTATTATTCAAAATACTAAGAATCATCCTTCTTTTATTTTATTAAAATGTGAGTTGTGACTAATATTATATAGACCCTTTCGCCTCCATGGCAAGGGAGTAAAAATAAATCGGGATAAACAATTAAAATATAATTAAATAAATAGTTTATGTTTTTATCTGAATTTTCTGAATTCAAGCGTTGAGAAGCATAATTTAGTTATTAGTTTCTATATAGTTACATCACTGAGCAATATATATATGTTGCAAAACAAAACTATATAAATCAATAGGTAAAATAAATCCGAAATATAATTAAAACATTGCTATTACATATGTGAAAAAAATTGAAAAAAAGTTATTCTTTTTATAGAAATTTAACAAAAAAAAAAGAATAGGAATTACATGATTTGCGTGACGCAGATCAAGTCACGGATCGCGGTCATGAGAATGTGTCCATTTAAGGTCGAGTCTGTTGCCGCTTTGCAACTTATTGTCGGTTTAATTTATCTCCCACAGATTTCACGCATAAAACTAAACGAAAAAGAAAACTAATAAAAATAATATTTTTAAAATAGCATCTTGGAATAAAAAAAATTCATTTATTGAAATATTTAAAGTTTAAAATTTAACAATTAGAAACAATTTGAATAAAGTGATAAATGCTCAGCTATATAATTGTCAAGTAATAATTAGGAGCACAAATAAGAGGTATATTTCTATTGTTATATTCATTATTATTCTTGACCCCGTTTATTAAATATGTTTTTATGTTACGAAACTCTTTTTTTTAAATATATATAGTTGTATTGCAATGACTGCTATTTGGCTACACAAATTTCTGTACATATATGTGTAAACAAAAAAATGTTACGTGTGAGATAATTGACTAAATTTAATATCTGAATGTGAGAAAAATACGAATATGTATCGAATATATACCTTGTGACCCTTTGGGTAGCACCACCCAATACTGAACACTCTTCCTTCAGGCCTGGATATATCTGAAAAGAATAAATCAAAGAATAAATCGGATGTCAAGTTAGTCGTGCGAATAAAGTCTTTCTTATATTCGATTATATTATTTTGTTTTTCTTTAATGTCAAACCTATATAAGCTGAGAAAATATATATAACGATAAATTATGTACACTTTTTGCTTTATGCTTTAAGTTTAAATATACGTATATAAAAAAGTGTATCTGCATATTTACTAATAGAATAGAATAATGCTATTCATATAATTTTATTTTGATAGTCATTGTAGAGAAAAATTCAATCAATTTAGTTAGCAATCAGTCATTAATCATGCAGTTCACAGTATTTTGAAAATATTATAATGTCCGAGTATAAATAGCTTGTCAAATTTTAACTAGGTTAAAACTAAATTAAGCACAAGTGTAATTCGAGGTGGTTTACATTGCAAATTCAACTCGAAATTCTACTTCGTTGACATGTTGCTCTACAAGAGCCTCAGAAGTTATTTGTCGGTTAAATTAGAGAATATATCAGCCCGTGCTCCCGGGATTCAAAAATTAAGGATTATATGTTGAGGCATAATATATGATGTATACAGCAGATTTTAAGAGAGAAACTAATCAAGTTTCAACAAATGAAAATTTATCTTGTTTATATAACTGACAATTATTTTCTGTCAATACCTATAGAGTATGAAATTCAGTTTTATTATTAAGGATAAAAAAGTTTTTATTATTTTCTGTAAGTTCGCAAGTGAGGAAAACACTTGAGTATAAAAAGCACAACTTGAAGAGTTGGTGAATAAATTTCATTTCCTAAGATTTGTGAGTGCTTAAAAAAGTGTACATAAAAAGTTGTATAATATATACATTTGAAAATTAGCAAAGTTGCGCTAATATTTCAATAAGGTCACTTTAATATGTGTTTGCATGTATGAATATACTTTCGTTGTATATATGCCTGAATAAATATAGTATAAAAAATACTATATTGTAAAAATACTATCATTGTAATATGTAATTGCTGGTCTTTTAAAATATCACCCCTTTATCTCAGTAAAATAAAGTGCAAAACAGTATGGAAAAAGTTTTTTGGACTAAGCCTCTTTTGGCACCGAAAGAATCCGCTTTATTTAGGACGAATAATTAAGATAACAAAGGTTGTCTCTGCCCCCATTATTTCGAAAGAAATTGAGGTAACAATTTTTAAACCCGAAAAATATATATATTTGAAAAATGGTTCAAGATTCTAAATAGGGATCATCGACAATCTATAATGAATATATTTTTATTTTTTGCAACTGATTTGCAAAATGTTGACGTGTGTATTTCCTGTCATGTTTTGCACTTACTATATTCGCGTCATGAAAAATGTTACGAAATCGTCTCGCAAAGTATTACAGTTGTAAGAAAAACAATATAGTGATTGACTGCTTAGAGGATAATTCTCTTTTTCATATTATGTAATTAAAACTTACACTATGTGCACAAAATTTTTGAAAATGCATCCTCTTTTTATTCCAACTCATAATGTGAATAAAGATTAAAATCTTGGGAGGAAAAATTTTATGTTTAAATTTAAATATGATTAAAATTATTAATAAATGCACTTCATATACAAATAAATAATATGAAATAATTTATATTATTTTTATGTGATCGGTATTATGTTACTTGATGCAGATCAAGAGACTTTGAAGAAATATGTTAAAATATGAAAAGCATTTTTTAATAAAATTATAATTACTTACCCGGTGAGCACATCGAACCAACACCCGGTCGAAAGGTGATTTGGAATCTTGCGCAGCTTTTGCTTTACACCATGCTTGTCCCATTGTTTATGTGAATATCAGTTTCTTATTTTTCGCAATTCTTATTTTTCTTCACTCTTTTCAAGTCCAATATTCTTACAACTAAACAAACGTCTGATGACAGAAAAAGGATATCATTAACATTATTATTTTATAATTTAATTAACTTCTAAAGTGCCTTTTATTAAAGTCTGATTAACATAATCACAATATCTCAAGAATGAATAGAATTATTAAACATAACTCATGTTCTCACTTTGCCTTCACTATGTTAATATCATGAGAATAAATTATTAAATCTATAGTTGCATATAGAACCAAAACAATATTATCGTTTTTATTTGCTCTTGATTAAATATAATGTTTGCAGAGACAATGAACAACTTGAAAATAACTTTTAATAACTTTTAATTTCAGTTGGAATAAAATGCACTTATTGCAGACTGCAGTGAAAAAATGTAGGTTTTAAAAGTATTGAGTGTTAAGACCATATAAGAGAATACCTAACTACTGTTACTAAAACTTGTGTTTTACGTTTACGTCATAATGTCCTTTCATTATGTGGGTTCACTGGTGCATTCAAGCTGTGATTAAACTAGTGTGTACAAAAAATTCAGGTAAATATAATGAACATAAAAAGAAACGATCTTCAGTCCCATCGTATAAATTTTGAATAAAGTGCACATAAGTGTCTTCATAAGTGAATTTATTTATTTATTTTTTTAATTTGCCTCGTTATTTATACAATGCAGATATATTGCTATATTGCACACGTGGTGTTAAAGCACACATTTATTTACATATACAGTTTCTTTCGTTATTAAAAATTGTATAATGCAGAAACAGCAGATTGTATTTTTCATTTAAAATGTGTTACTGTGTCAAATGAACTGTTTGTTTTGAAGTGTTAAAAAAACTTATTGTTTCAAATGTTAATATGCATTTATCAATGCAAGCATTATTTGCGTTATGGATTAGTTGGATTTTTGAAGTTTAGTTAGTTTGCACCTGTTTATAATGATCCATGATGTTTATAACGATCCATCGGGTCAAATGACCTGGATCCAAGACACATCCGACACGAAGATCGATTATCACAAGCGACGATCACACTAAACTAAAAGGCGCAGGCTTTCTATCCACAGCCTCCATGTAATAATGTAACGCTATAGTAGTCGACCAGGTGAGTCAGAAGGTGCAACAATTCTTCTGATTCTGACCCTCAGAGAATCTTTAAACAGCACAACTTTGTACTCTCAAAACACTATTTGTTCAGTCCAAAGTTAAAAACAAAATATTACGAAAACTGCGCAAATATTTATTTGCTTATTTAAGCACACAAAAAATCGTGACAATCGTATTATAGCAACGAAAGTACTTTTTAGTTTTGATTTAATAAATATTTTACCTATAGTAAGTATACGTTCGTATATATGGTACATATGTATGACATGCTAATGCAGGAAAAAAGTTTTTGCAATGTTGAAGCAAGATAATAAAAAGGTTTGTTATTAATTAAAATAAATTTATTTATTTAAAAATTACTTTTTTAAACTTCATTTCAAATTCAATTTTAAAATCAACAATTATTAGAAAATTAAATATTGTGCTGCCATCTGTTATGAATAAAAGAAACTTGTCAGGAGGCTCAGTTGATAAAGAAGATTAATTTTTATTAATTAACAAAATAAATGTTATAAATTTATTAATTGCATTAATTGTTTTTTAATTGTTTATTTAGTAGTCATGTGTTTCAATACTATGACAGTTGACTAAAAGTTTAATTTTCCTTTAAATAAAGTTTATTTAATTTGAATATTATTACATTTGACTGTTTTTTAATAACATTGTATTAATAAAAAGTTTAAATTTTTCAAAAATTAAAAAAATATTTACAAGATATTAAATTTTTTCTTTAATTGAAAGGTAAATAAAATGCTTTAATTGAGGTAAAAAAATGTTGTATTTATTTAATATAATGAAATGTTTTTCACATTTAAAGACCCCATTGGAAACTAAAAGTATGTAATTTATAAAATAAATCCTCTTGTGAGAACATAAACTACATGCGAATATCGCATGGCACTCTTGCAATAAACATACAATATGTTATGTGGTTCCAAATAAATTTCTCTAAGATTGCTGCTACCAACTTTAAGAAAATATTCAGGAAATTTCTTGTGCCGTGTGTGACGTGTATAACAATGGTCCCGTCGGCCTTTGTTGCATACTTGGAAATATGTTTATGGGGTCTTCCATGAATTGCGTCAGAGATTGTTCGCTTTTTTCAACATCACTCTTCCCATTGTCACCTGTTTTTAAAACGACTTCCCGCCTTTAAAATTACGTCCCTTTTTCACCCTCACATAACAATATAACATTAAGAAACACAAAACATATATATGATTATTTTTTTTTTTTTTTTAATAATAAATTGAAAAATGTTAACATGTAAATTTTAGTTAATTTGAATTTTGATTGTGGTCACAGGAGAAATTGTCACAAAAAAGTTTTACACGTTCGTCCTCTCTCAGCATAGAGAATGTTTTGTAACAACTTCACAAAAATTTTCACAATAGTTGAACTAGTCATTGTTTCAATTACAAGAAACTTGATTTACTTGAAAAAATCTCTTTGAACAGAAAATTGCACAAATTAAAATTTTTCTTCGATATCATGTATAATAGAGAGATGAATCCAACTGAAAAAAGAAAATTTAAAAATACGTCAGTATTGTCTATTTTAGCTTCTAATGTCTTTTTTTAATATTGTAATATTTACCTCTCATTTCCTTTTCTTCAATTTATTAAATAATTCCGTTATTTTTTGTTTCCTATATTTATCATCATTATTATTAGAAAAACTTGTCTTATCCAGTTGTTTCCTCTTAACATTTTTCCGAAGTTTGGAATAATTTTTCGAAAAATAGTTGATTCGATGAGGAGCGAGAGTTTTAAAAAGGGTAAACGACTGAATGCTCCTTTTTTGTATTCTCTCTTCTGTCTTTTTGTCCTGAACAATGGGTCTGGTAAAATCACAGAATTCGATTCCAAGCGGAATACATTGATCAGCAACCAAGACAGTCATTTCCAGTGATCTAACAACTCTAGTAACTTGTATAATCGATGGTTCATCAGCATTTAAATCCTTGATTGTTTCTTCTTCCGTCTGATTTTCAAATTCTTCCGGCATATTAACAACTGTATCGTCTTGAATATTTGATGAATTACCACCATTCTTGGATAACTTTTTCCTCGCCTCTTCCTCCTCCAGTTCACGATTTAATGACTCAAAACTTTTTAAATAAATTTTGCCAGGTCCGTAATTTTCAAAACTTGCATTTTTAGGATCCTTGTAGTCGATGATCATGTCGGCGTAACTTTGTAAAATTTTATTAATTTGATGTTTATATTTGCGCTGATGTTCCTTAAATTTACCAATGCAAGGCGGAAGATCTCGATCCACCTTTACGCAAATATGAGGAACTACTCCCGTTGGTATAATTTCAATTTCCGGTAAAGTCTCATAATCGCACTGAGCACTTTTTAATTCGTAAAGGACGAATGATAGTAATATTAACTTTAACATAGTGAGGAAAATATTAATTCGCGGGCTGAAAAGTCAACAACTTTTCCTTACCAGTTCTGAATGAAGACTAAAATTGTATTTGTGTCTGGGAATATTTTGAAGGTACAGGGTTCAGGTCATTTCCATTTCCATTTCCATTTTCTTTTTGACCTGGAAGGTGTAACTGTTGGAGCTGCAGAGAATGAAATGACCTGGACCATTGCCTTTGCCTTCTTCTTCAATGGCATTCCTTTCAAGCCCCTTTATAACATGTTCCCCGCATAGAGCCTTTTATTATGACTATCTAAATGAATGAAATGAATATTTACAATCCTTCAAAATCAATTCATATTATGTAGTTAAAAATGAAAATCTCGTAATTTATATATATAATTTATTTATTTATTTATTTATTTATTTATTCGTATTTCATTATTACAAAAAATTATCTAATACCCTCACTCATAAATTTTTGTAACATATCATATTATATTAAAATCGCAATATAAACAAAATGAAAGGGCTAATATATCGAGAGAAATGATTATATATGCGCACTTGACAATAAATTAAAAAGAAATTACATAGAAATGTTACGTTTGTTAAATGCTTAACTATATGCATATGTATAAACATGACATTGAAATGGAGAATAAGAGAGATGAAATTTGACGAGTGAATCCTATACAAATATGTACTTAGAAATAAAAAAAAAGTTCCAGGAACAATAATGTTCCCAGGCACGTAAATAACAATCTACTCTAGAATTCACTATAGATTTTTGCTGGCGAATATTGAGTCATCACCTGCAGACACAATTTAATTTTAAGACTTACAGGTCGATCACAAATTGACTATAATAGTAGTTCACATAATATCACATATTCCATGCGGATCGCACACAGAAAAAAATATTAGCATTTTTGAGATATTGACCACTAGTCTATTATAGTAATAAGCTATAAATAAGTTATAAAATACAGGGTTGAGTCAAACTTTTTATGCGTTCGATAAGCGATTACTATTCTACTGTAAATAATATTCATTACAACTAATTATATAACTTGACTTGAATTTTAAAGCAAGTTTCAACTTGTCATTTAACAGAAGACATTTTATTTCATTTATCAAGTTTCTCAATTTCGAAATAAGAAAAACATTTTTCTCTTCTGTTAAATAGAGATTTTTGTGTGTTGCAACTTGCATTTTATATTTTTTATAATTATACTTCAGCCGATATTTTTTTCCGTGCAAACTCATTGAGATCGGCATAAATTGCATCGAAATAGATAAAAACGACGAGAGAACGAAAGAACGAAAGGACGACGAAACGCTTTCAGAAAATCAGCCCTTTTACAAACATAAACATGAGTCACTTGCACAGCCCCTTTTTATAATCGAGACAAACAATAAATTAATGTTGATGAAAAGGTACATGAAAATTAGAACGAGCTTTAATGTCAAAGGCCACAGCACATTTCATTTGCGAGATCGGATTAAAAACAAAGCAGACCTATTTAAAATAAATTACATCTTACACCTAAAGTATAAGAATCTCTTTTATTCTTCTCTCATGAATTTTCCCGGGTTTTTCTTGCACATGTGCGGTAGTCTTTCGGATGGAATACGTTGAGTCAAAATACAAAAAGGAATGTTTGTGAAATGTTACTGGAGATAAATAGCAAAATCTTGATATAATCTAATAAACTTGAGAAACTTAGAGTCGGATGCTGAAGACAATAATTCTCAAAAATTCAAAACATTAATTAGTTTTAAAAATTGCAGAGTCCAAAAGTTGAGAAGAGAGTTGATATATTCAACATTGGATTATAATATTATTTATAATATAATAAAAAGAGGACTCTAATTGTTTAATTTCGAATGTAATGTAATTTTTCCGACTCTTTGTATTCATCAATAATTATACATTATTTTCAACAAGATTTTCCTCTCTGATTTTTCGAATGATGAATTGAAGCTCTTCTGTTGTATGGGACAAAAAGTAATGAAGACAAATTGTTTCCTGCGTTAAAAGCCAGAGGCTTTCTAGAGATGTATTCTTTCGAATTTGTCGATAATTTCGAATGAAACGCTTGTTTTGATAAATCACTTTTCCTTGCGGCAGCAACGGCGAGTTTTTCAGCATCGAATGGAATGGCCTTGGTGTACGGGAACTCACTACCTTCCTTGATGAATTTCAATTTTCGAGACAAATAATGAGGTTTGGGATGTTTCTCTTCGCCAAAACTTGAAGAATCAATTTCTTGGTTCTTCTTGCTGGGAATCGTGTTTGTAGAACGAAATTCTTTAAATTTTTTAATATCCTTTGAAGATCGAATATGATGTTTGGAATTTTCTCTTTTCCTTCCAAGTTTTGATGGTTTATGATAGTTGAATTCTTTTTGAAGAACGCTAGTCTTCTCTTCTCTCTCCCAATTGTCACTAACGAGTTTATCTCCTCGCGATGTTGATGGTGCACTTAGAAGTTTTCTTGAATGGTGACTTTTTTTCGGATAGAGGAAATTATTTTCATGTGACGATTCATCATCGGAATAGTCAATATCTCGAAGCTGATGATTATTTTCAGGTCTGTAGAGAACTTGCTTCCAAAATGGATAGACACTTCTTTCCCTGGCAACTTGTAATTTCTCGGCGTCGAAAGGAATTGCTTTCGAATAGGGGAATTCGCTTCCTATTCGAGCAACTTGTAGCTTTTCAGGATCGAAGGGAATCGCTCTCGAATACGGAAACTCCAACTTGGCGACAAGTTTATCCAGCTCCTGATCAAGACCCCTGGCCTCTTGAATATCTTGTTCGATCCTCTTCTGTGTTTTGTGTATGGTTTTTTTCATATTGAAAATTCTCTTTTTTTCCTTGTAAGACTCTTCATCTTTAGTCTTGAACCAATTTTTCTCAAGAAGAATCTTGTTGGATATTTGCCTTTGCTTAATCCTGTTCTCACCAGCATTTTCTAATGGGTGAGAAAGATTCTAAAAACAAGTTGTTTATTAATTGCTATTTGGAAATATATAAAAATAAATCTATATGTAAAATTATTATTCTATATGGTTCTTTGAGTGAAAATTAAAACTTATATATAAATCACATATTTACATGCTTGACTTCTAATTGAGATTTAATTTGATGTTCTAATTGTATGTGCTTCATTTGTTCTAACCAATGGGTATGGTTGACTTTTGGAAAAACCTCAGGAGCAGTTTTAAAGATTTCTTTTGTCTTGAATGGACGTAGATTTTGTATTTTTGCTAACGGACTTCTAGATTCCTCGGGCTTGCAAAATGGTAACCGAAAGGGCAATCTGAAATATCAAAGTAAAAATGAAATTCAAAGAAAATTTATGTTGTTATCAATGAATACATACCTTGATGGAATACATCCTTCAATTTTGTAAACGATTAATGATTTCGGAATGTCAACTTCTCTTTTTCTCTTCGCGTGGATTTGTGTCAGAGATTCTTCCTCGCCCATTGAATTGACGAATCTATAAAAAGAATTGAAGCTTTACTATTGACTAACTCGGGAAAATAATAAATTTGATTTGATTTCTAATTACTTGTTAAAATTGCAAGGCGGGAGATTTGGAGAGACCTCTATACAAATGTATTCGGTGCTGGTTGTCTTTGCAGGACTCGAAGGTGACATTGCTGATTTTGGTGCGAGATTGGAGGAAGTTTGATTTTTGGATAAATTGAACTCAACTTGTCTTATGGATCTAAGGGTCAGGAACGTTTGACCTGACCCTAATAACAACATCATCAAAAAAGCCACAACAGACTCGTTCATGGCTCTCGTTGCCCTTGATTAACTGAAACTTGAGCTTCCACTGAACTCTGCAACAAGACAAATGTTTTTATTAATTTGTGATAATTATAAAAATCCGCTTAATGAAATCATTTATCTCGAAAGCAAGGCTGGAATTCTTGACCTCAAACTTCTTGATGACTTTAATATAGTACTATTTATATACATGTCAAAACGAAAGAAGATTATTTATTATTATATTTGTTGTTTCTAATATGTTTGATTTGTACATTTATATTGTAATTGCAATTGCCGGGTCTACTGTCTATCTACATTCTATTACACGTGGTGCGATTATGGTCTTGAGTTGGACTATCGGTCCGACCCATTAGGTATACTAAAACAAATCACCCTTGCTTTTAGTTGTTGCAATCGGAAACAAGGCCTTCTCCACACAGTTATGACTCGTAAACAGAATGATTATGTCATCTACTGATCTAGTAGTCTCTGGTGTAACATAATAAGCCAGAGCAATGAAATAGTAACTACGATATCTCTAAATTATACATATATATATATATATCGTTTCAAGTTAATTTATAATTTCTCAGTTAATTCTGCGACAATTTAAAACTTGAGGAGAAAAATTTAATTAACGAAATTCTTCTAAAGACATGGCATATCTTTTGTTGTTACGCATTGTTTGACAAACAGTGAGTTTCGCCAAAAAGTATATGCAAAGTATGTTGCTACAAGTGTGTATGCATGTATGTGCGTTGGGGATATTCCTCGAATAACAATCGTGTTTACTATGAGATTGGATATTCCCGGTGTCATGTCGAGTAAGAGGGCAGTCATCGATTGCGTCCCGTGAGGGGAAGTGGCTTTCCCCCCACCACAACTGTCCAGAGTTCGGGACTCGTTTGCTCCTTTTGCTAAATCACTTTTTTCATCAAAATACAAATTTTTTAAATATTAACCTAGTGGGCAAAAAACCATCATTGTTTGAAAAACGTTCCAAAAACGTTTTTAGAACGTTTCATGACTGCCAAATAACGTCCCAAAAACGTTATATGTTTCTAAAACGTTTTTAAAACAATGATGCTCTCTAAATCTGAATTAGCGAAATTTCACTAATTCCCCAGCGATAAGTATATCACTGATTCAATTAGCGTATATACGCTGTGAATTAGTGAAATTTCACTGATTAATTTCACTGATTGAATCAGTGATATACTTATCGCTGGGAAATTAGTGGAATTTCGCTAATTCAGATTTAGAGAGTGGATTTTTGCCCACTGGCAATATTTTTACCTTTTTTTTATTAAATTCGAATTTCTTATTTTCCTACGATTTCAGGCATATGTATTGCTTCTTTTAAAAATGTTTTCACTGATTCTAATTTAGAAAGTTACTGCAAATAATTAGTCCGCAGTAATTACTTAAAGTACTTTAACTATATTTTTTAGCTTCTAAGTTATTAAATTTAAATACTTTTTTATTTACTAATTACCTCGCTTGTTAAATTTTTAGAACAAGTTTTAAAGTAATCACTGAACTAATGATTTACAGTGACTACTACACAGGATTTGAATTAATAAAAAGCTACTGATTAAATAAAGATGAGTATATTGTTAATCATGCGTTTTCTTTTGAGATGCGTCTAAACACACATTATCACTCAAGGGCTTCAGAGGCATGTCTGCAATTATTAATGACATATTTTTCAGTTGGAGGGATTTTATATAATTTACTTTCTCTCCTTCTTTTGGTGCGTAGATTAATGAACGTCTATATAATTTGTTTAATTCCTATGTAAAGTTGGAGTGCGATTTCTAACAATGTTTGATTGTTTGAATACTGCAAAGCGAGTATCATGCGTCTGAGGAATACAGTCTCAATTGCAAGGAAAATTTAATTATGTTTTCTTTTCTTGAAACGAAAATTGTAGGCAGTTTTATGCGACAACTGGATCATTGGGCTTGAAGTACGGGCGTTGATTCTTTTCCTGGTTGGGGAGGGGAAGGTCACTTCCCCTCACAGGACGGAATTGATGATCGCCCGAGTAAGAGTATCAATAAAGCACAAAGCGTGGTTTTAGACGACGATGACAACAATGTAGTCATCTCGTGCAAATTACAATATTATTTTGTTGTCTTCTTTTCTTTTGTGCTTTTCTTAATATACAAACAAGCATGTCGGTAGCTTGAATATAAGAACAAGCTGTTTGCATTCATCTGAGCATTCGAACATATTGTATATATGTATATTTATCGTTCATAAACGATGATGGAGCAAATCCTCGAGTGCATTGCCATCGACGTTTCTATCGTTTTACTTTTTTCATATCTCCATGAATAGAAAAGGAGAAAGATTTCTGCTTAGAATTTTCATATTTCTATGTAGAATTACAATATATTTTATATTAATTTTGAGAAAAATATATTATAACAGAATTTCCAATTTAGCAACATATGCCTCTAATGTAAAATCAGCTTTATCAGATAAAAAGTAAGTAACTATTGCTCTTATAGTTATACCCTCTTATTATATTAATCTTAATCAATGAAATTTTCACTTTAAATATTAAGTATACCTACTGATTCAGATTATATGAGGGGAAAATTGCATAGGAATATAAGATAATTTTCAGTAGTTTGAAGAGCATAATGAAAATGTTATTTAATATTCTTTATTGCTATTTTTGAGGAAAAACCGCAAGATCGATATTTTTGAACGTGCTACTTATAAGATGACTTGTATTATTAGCGTACAACAATAAACCAGACAACGTCTGGAACGCAATACATGCATATACATATATGTATATAATATATTTATATCCTGAAATAAGGTCGTATAGTCTACTTCTTGTGTAACAACATTACTATGGAGAAATAACTTTCATTTTAATAATTTCAAAGGAAACAAATTTTCTTGGCAACGCAAAGGTGTCACTGATTTACTAGTCAATAAAAAGTTGACTATAGTTCAAATTCATCAATGATTCATTGAGGTGTCAAGTGTATTCACTGATTCGGAGTAGTATAGAGTGTTTCATTAATTGCAAATATTAGTGACACATTACTCACCGATTCAAATTGAGAAATTTCAACGTTTTACCTATTTTCTCTAAATCATTTATTACAATGTATAATATATAGATAATATTTAATTTTGAAATAATAACTTTGTGACTTTTTATAGAAAATGTTTGATTTACCTTTCAAAAATAATGTGTATTATTGTTAATAACATACTATATAGATGGATGGAAGCATATCCTTGAAATACTTGATTCTGTTGACTACTATACTGAGAATGTCTACTATCTAACTTGTCGATAAATTTTTATTTATAGATCAGGAATTTATGGAATAAGACCGAAACGTCCAATGATACAATATATTTTTTACACATATAATCAGTTTATGAATTAGTTATTGCTACACCAAAAATATCCAAATAAATTTCTTTTATCTCCACGTTTTTTAAGGCTTCTTATTATTATTAGGACTAAAAAATCACATTTTTTTCTAAGAAAGTAAAAAAGCTATAAATATGCACATTATTTTTAAGAATGCTGAGTCCTCAGAGGGAGAAAGTTTAATTTTAATAAGCTAGTTTCTTTGAAACTTTGCAGATTTTTAATCTTATTTCTACTTGTTCCACAACTTTTAATAATATACTTTATTGGCAATAGAAAATATTAAGATTACAAAACTGTGTCAGGGATTGTTGAATTTTGAATGTAATGTCAGTAATGTCAGTCCATAGAGTTGCATATATACATCAACTATACATATATATTGTGAATTTCATAGAAATAAGTATAATAAAATACACTAAACGCAAAAAATACTAGTATCCACATCATGATGAAACATAATTTTCAATTAGTTATCTCATTAAAGAGTCAAGAGCCATGTAAATTTGATATAGAAAAGAGCCATTTTATCAGTTTTAAGTTAATTGAGACTGAAGTCCGAAAGTGTTTATTACTTTCTGAAATTTTCACATAAATAATAATATGTTGCGTCCGTGAATTAATGCTTTACTCTAAATATTGAAGACGTTTCCCAAAATAATTATCGCACATAGGTGTCTAGGCGCAGAATATCTTATAGTTGTCTTATAGTTATTCTGAGTCATAAAAGACAATTTTTCAAATAAATAGTAATTTAAGGAAGAAAAAATGTATAGTAATACACGTATGTATATATTAACTTTTCACTATATGTATAGCAGTTTGTTTTGAGATACACTCGGAGGTTAATAATAGTGCATTCCTGATAAGGACGTCTAAAAATAACCATAAACGAGTCTGGCTACTTTTAAAACACATACAAAAGTGTTGTTCAGTTTTATATATGCTGTTTCCTTCTCTACCGTTCTCCCTCTTAATTTTCCATGTTCTCCTCCTACCTTTCTCAATTACAAATATCGAACATAAGTTTGCCGAAAACAAGTTTGATTCAATTTCTCTGATGTTTATGAGACATCGGAATTAGGTAAAAAGTTTTTTAACATGTGTTATTTTTAGCCGTGCAACTTAAATATGCGATGCAGCGGGAAATTATATCTTTCGATCGTCCTGATACCTGCATACTGCATGAACGCAGTTTTTAGGGGCAAATGACCACGTGGATAGAAGAGTATATTTTCATTAAAAATTTTATTTCACTCCTTCCACATCTTTTATCTCGTTCAAAACATGACGAAAGTTAAAAACAAATTGGGTTAGAAAATATTTCGAATCAACAAGTAGGTGTTTTCTAGTCGCTCGCTCTTATATATGTTCTCATTTACTTGTTTTGCTTCCATCGCGCAAATGTTTCTAAAGTCAAAGAAGAAAATATCAAAGCAAATGAAAAATTTTAGTTTGAGTATTGTTTATTCCCTCAATCATTCCCTCAATTATTATTTCTGCATGATTACGATTCATTAGGAGTCTAATAAATATTTATACTCAAAGGATTCGATTATTGAGTATATATATTTTAGAGATTGTAATATTTATCTAAAATTCAATGTCAAGATGTTGACAAGTGTATGACCTTTTATAACAATAAATCAGTACTAAAATGTTAATCGATATAGTGATTTGAATTAATTTCAAGTGTGGAGATTTTATGGAGTTTTTATAAAATTTTGTATTAAGACTGATATCTTCCACTGTGAAACACGTTACATACATGGACCAAATAAATAGATAATATAGAGTAATTCTCTAAAAGATAGAAGAGGTCAAATGGTTGTACATCTACATATTAAATATTATGTTATCTTTAATGATTTCGAAAGATATTTACAAAAAAGAAGGGGAACTATAGATCTAAAATGTCTTATAAAAAATAATGGTATTTTTAAAAAAAAGTAATATAAGAACTGAAATCTTTGACTTTATATTCTTAATGTTGATATACTATACGTTTCAGAGTTATTGGCATAGAACTTTTAATAAAAAAATAAGAAAATATCTTCATTCTCAGCACTTTGTTATATGAAAATTTATTATTATTGTAACCAACAGAATTTCTTTGAATTTCTTTAAGTTTCTTTAAATTCACACAATTTACTGGTTTTTTTACAATTGAAATTTTGTTTGTTTACAGGACTTTGATTAAAATATATCTAATCGCCTGTGATGGGTATACGTATCGTCCACGTTCAAAATCTCAATAATAAATTCAAGAAAAACCATCATTATCTATTAAAAAACTGCTAGGAAACAACTTCAAAACAAGTAAAAATTATTATCAAAACAAAGGTCACTGAACGTAGATTGTCATAAAATGGACTTTAATTTGCTTTCGAAATATTATTGGAAATTATTAAATGCAATTGTGAAAATGTTGAATTTCTCTGAATTGTAAATGAAAAAATGATTGTAGAGAAAGTAGTAGAGAAGTAGTTTCAAGTAAAATTTCAAATAAAACTAAAGAAACACAAGAGATAATTTTACCTTTGGAAAAGTGCGTGTGGTTCCTGTCTTGTCTCCAGAAGGTTGCAATGAATGATCTTTAATCGATCCTTGGCCACCTGACTAATTGTTTTCCTTTACGGCAGATTTTTCTACCGTTTAATTTTTCCAGATAATAGTACCTTTTTCGCCAAGTGTTCCTCATCGGCACGATGAATTCCAAAAAGAACTGTTTTGAACTTGTTTTCCAAAATGAATTGAAAAGAAAACTTGGCGCAGAAAGTGCAACTTTTTTAAAAATTTCTTTAATTTTTCTTGGCTTTCTTCTGAGCCTATACTCTCGAAAGCGTTCAAAGGCTGTTTTGCTTGTAGTCTGCGAAATCGATCGCCGGCAAAACTGCAAGAGAGTGCGAGTTGTGGACAGGTAGAAGGGATGATTGACCCTCTGACCAGCGAGTCGAGGGTGAACGGCAGTGGGGCCGATAAGAGGGTGCCTTGGCGCCAGGTGTCTCGGAGAACAATTCTTATCTTGTTTCTCTATCTTCCTCTCTCTTTTGCATTTACACACTCTTTCTCTCTCTCTCTCTCTCTCTCTCGTTCTCTTTATTATTACTTTCTACTTGCAGTTAGTTATTGTCTCAAATCTTTTTTTCATGATTGAAGATGATTTTTTCTTTTTTTCAAATTTCTCTCTGAAATATCCTCGCTTTTATTTCCCTTTTGAGCGATAGTTATTAGTTTATTGATTAAAGGAATATTAACTTTGTTGGCGAGTACTTCTTCCTAACTATATTGCTTGCTTACTTACTTATTATTTACGTGAAAATAAAAAAAGTATCAAAGAACACTGGAGGGAAAAGAAAATAAAGGGTTGTTGGGATAGTATATAGTGTAAAAGGGAGAAGTGTCCACCGTGACACCGAGCAGACAACTACTAACGGCTGTCGATTGTCAGTCTTCCCTACCACGACTTCTCGCCCAGTCGGTCCAGTCCGGTGTACTTAAATACAAAGGACAACCCGGTGCAACTAAAATCATTCACTTTAACAATATTTATCCGAGTAACCACTTTCTGAATTTATTGCAATTATCAAAAATATTTCAATTTAGAAAAAATATGATAACAAACTACTTTTTTCATCTATAATTTGAGTAATTTTTAATCAGAAAATTTATAGTGTGAAAAAGGAAATAATAATGATTTATTTATAGCATTAGTATGAAGATGAAGAATGAGGAAGTTTAAATTTACACATAGCACATTAATACAGAAAAAAAATTAATAGAATTTTTTTCAACTCATATCACGATGATTATTATCTCTCTATATCGTTTGCGTGTGTAATTTATTTTTGAAGAGGGTCATTAACATCTCGTTGCCACTAGCTTTAAAATGATATTTCTAGCGCACTATTCGCTTCTGGTTATAAAATTAATTTAAAAAAGAACACTCATTTGTTTAGAATTTTTTATAAATACTCTTCATTAAGTAGAGCAGTTTTCGCGATACTTTGAAAAATTGACAAGTTTGAGAATCTACATTATTACCCATTAGCGATTTAAACGTAAGTGAATAAAAAAAGAATGACATTTTATAAAAATTTGAAATAGATGCGAGAATTGTAAATATAAAAAGATAGCTTAATGAACGCAGGAAGAAGAGAGTAAAAGAGACCGAGAAGAGCGGAAAATAACACAAACAGATTGATTAACCCAGAGACCTATTATTGTGATCGGGCGATCATCGATTCCCTCCCGCGAGGGGAAGTGACCTTCCCCTCCACCACCAGGAATGGCTTCACACCCGTGGGCCGTGCCTCAAGCCGAACTCGGGGCTGGCAGTGCGATTGAGGTGTCGCATAAAGTTGCCTATATAATGTTCATTAGATGGGAGAACTCAAAGATTTCGGAAAAATAAATGGATTTGGAAAAGAGAGAGAAGTCAAACCGGGATCGTCGTCAATTTAAAATCAATGAAAAAGTTGTTTCGCAATTGCAAATTGCAAACAACGACGAGAAAGGAAAAAAATTGAAATAAGAAAAGTCCCATATTAGGTGCATCATGATCGGCAATAAATAAATGTATAAAATTGTTTAAATAAATTTAATGTGGATTAAAAATCGAATACTCACATAAATTCTTAAACATGCAATTTTTTCTTAAAATTATTTTAAAATAATGACTTTTTGATTTTGAGAATTCAAATTTCATATAGCATTATAATAATTAATAAATGGATAACTTTGATACATTTTTCAGTACATATGGCATGCGATCTATCGGTTTCCTCTCATTAAACCAAACATTTTATCATTTTTTTAGTCAGGATTTTATTGAATGAAGTATATAGATGCATGTGGAATACAAAACTATTGTACTCCAAACTAAAAATCAAAAATTGTTTAAGTGAAAAATTAATTTTTCACATAAAGATGGCATATTATAACAATAAAATTCTATTCAGAATCATAACAAGAGAATTTTACAATTTGTTTTGTAAATATTGATCATTACTGGTTGAGAGTAAACTGCGAAATCTACAATAGTCTATATAAAAAAAACAATGAATCGTCATCCAATTATTCAATTTTACAAAATTGTAATTCTATGATGTGCAGAGTTATTGTAAAAGAGGGGCTTTATTATTAAATCTTGTAACAAACATTCACTTAAGCAGATAATGACGAGATAAATTAAGTTTTGTCCAAGCAGATAAGGGAACCGATTGACTGCCAAGTTACTGTGGAGCACTTTCCTCTTTTGATCGCTCTGGCTGGCTTGCTTCGTTAGACCAAGTGTTCTTGTAGTCTAGACCACTAGTCTTCATCTTCATCATCAACTCACACAGTCATTAATTCTTAACAAATATTGTCTTCATTTATTTCAAACAACATTATCGTGCACTTGTTTTTCTTCGAAAATCCTCCACTATATTCCTGACATGAAGGACATCTACGAACAGGTACTATTTTATTTATCACTTCATTTTAACAACTGTCAATAAATAATATTACTATTACATTTTGTTTATTTTCTTTATTTTGTTTATTTTATTAGCAACAAAAAAAATACCTACAGAGTAATTTAAACATGTAATTTTGGTAATTATCTTGATATAGCACTGTGATATTCTGAACATGACATTTTCTAATTAGTTATTTTAATAAATCATTTCACTTATACTTATTTACATACAAAATGTGGTTATCGCTCGTGTATTTTTATTCTCACACTTTATGCATTTGCGCAGTTTACAAAAGCAAGATTTTTTTAACGAATGTGTATAAATTTTTATACTTTTTAAGCAACTGTTTATTTTCTCTTTTTGTGTCAGTAAAAAAATTAAAAATGTAATAAAGAATGTTATTTACTTTTAAGCAGAAATTAATATAGGTATAAAAATAGTATAAATTTTTCTGAATCTTCTAACGGATAGACGATAGAGTATTAAAAGGATGAAAAAATGAAGTGAATGAACAAGATATGATTTTGGAGTAAAGAATTGGCAGTGACCATAAGAACTGGTGGAAATCTATGAGAATTGTCAACCTCGTGACTCACGACCCACATGGAATGAGGAAACTGTTTAGTCCATTCAGAAAAGAGCCGCACGCTATATACGAGAGAACTATTTTCGCCCTCATGTGATTCACTCGTTATTTAAACTTGAATCTCATGCATGCGTGCACATAAGAATTACTTTATTATATTCATGTACGCATTCATGTACCATTATGCAAAATGGTATATTATATGTAATAGAAAATTTGTCACTTTAGTCGAGGAAAATCTCCCCTGGAAAGTTGTCGTCATAATAAAAGATTATTTTTAATCAGCTTGCGTGATCGAGAAAGCATTCCGACAATTTCGTTTCTATAAAGGAATTTGAGGTGGAGAGTCAGCGACATCTGCGTCATCTCCGAGTGTGACTGCGTTGGCGTACTCCTGCTTTGATTGGTACAAAGAGAAGAAATCTTCAACCTTCTCAAGAGCAAGGCCTCAAATTCCTGATTATCAAGAGTATTCTGTTTTATTTTCAGCTTTAAAACTTGTTTCAGATATAAATAGCTCGCAGATATTTATTTATTCATCAACTAGATTAATTGCCTGATTTTATTTAAACATAGAAGAGGAAAATAAATTTCTTTAAAATTCTCTCGAGCTCGAGTTCGGCAGATGGGGGTAAATTTATAAACACAATATATTGTTCCGAATCAATGAAGATGTACACTGTATGTAGGTGCATACAATATATGTATGTCGACTTGTGTTGTTGTATATATATATATATATATATATGATTCGAGAATGCGAACCGGATTTTAAAAGAATATGATAAAAATATCTTGTACACGTAAATTACATTTCTTCCTTTTTTCATGTTATTTTTGTCTCTTTCATTACTTGCGAATTCCAAGGTATATACACATCTTCATTCCATGTCCCGAAATAGGTACTCGAGAACTTGAAAGTGAAGCAAAGGTGTAGAGATATGTTTATAAATTTTCATTTGATATCGTCTTTTTAAAATGTAAGGCAATAGCGAAAATATCAATGGACACTGACACGAAACCAATTTCACCTGTTGAAATAAACAGAGTTCAATAAATAAAGATTTGGTATATTTATAATAATCTTTAATTTGTTTACAATAAGGCACTTGTGTTTTACTTTATTGCTAAAAGTATGAAATCAGTTTCCGGACCTACTGCATAGTGCAAACGAAAAAAATATGAAGACCTTTTCGCCAAGCATTCGCAACGCTATTTTTAGTTACCCTTATCGGAGTCGCTCTATTATTAACCTACGAGTGCAACTGAAAACAAACTATTCATGACATCCCGGATGTTAATTATAATTTATGCTGTAAATCTAGATGTTGAATTATAATGAGATCACAAGTCATTGATCCATTATACCTACATATATCACTGTTATCATCACTCATTCCTCAGTCATTTTTTGCATATTTTGCTGAGCCACTTATTCATTTCTTGCAGAATTCTAATCTAAGTAGAAATAGTGCAAAAAATATAAACTTTTTATTGTCACGGGAATACTAATTATTGAAATGCAAAAGTAGTCTTTGGTTGCATTTTATTTGTATGACTGCATGCCGTTCGTTCTACTTGAATTCGTTCCACTATTTTGCCACACGGAAAAGATCTGTTCTGATCTTGATGTGTTGAAATAGAGCGACCTATGACTTCAATTCGTTTATTTGTGCTTGCTCCTTAAGTTAACACGAAATGGAGAGCAAATCTAATTTACTCCTTTTTATGCTAATTTTAATATTAAATTCTCCATATTTATAAGAAAAAAATATTTAAATTGCAGTTTGAAAAAAATGGCTTCGTAGTTATGGAAGATTTTTTGAAACCTGAGGAAGTAGAAGAATTGAAGTCGTGTGGTGAAGAGTTTACAACCAACCTTCCTTCGGAAAATGAACGAAAAATCTTTAATACCGAAGAAATGCAACAGGTACCTACCTATTCATCGACTTTAAAAACTTTTATTTGATAAATGATGAAAATTGCGAATGTTCATTTATAATAAAAAGAATATACAAACTTAATAATTTACAGAACAAGGATCGATATTTTTTGGATAGCGCCAATAAAATCAGCTACTTTTTTGAAAATGAAGCTCTAGAGAGCGATGGAAAACTGAAAGTTCATCCGCGAGTGTCTCTTAACAAGGTATTTATGTTTCGTATTTATATGTATTTCCCAAAGTTCAACTTTGGGAAATCTAAACAAAAAATAAAAGTTTTTCACTTTCTCTTAAAAAGAGAAATTAAATTTTAATTTACATTTCTAAGAAAAGTTTATTTTTGCAGGTTGGTCATGCTCTTCATTGGCTGCATCCAAAATTCAGAAAATACACTTTTGACGAAAGAGTGAAAGAAGTAGCATTTCAATTGGATCTGCAGGAGCCTGCAGTTTGTCAGTCCATGTACATTTACAAAAATCCTGGAGTGGGCTCCAAAGGTTCGCATCAGTTCAAAGTATAAATAATATAAAATTAAAATTTTATAATGTAAATATTTATTTATTTGGTTTAGTAATTGCGCATCAGGATGCGTCCTATCTTCTCACTGATCCTGTAAAAGTCGTCGGCTTCTGGATTGCCCTGGATGACGCAACCCAGGAAAACGGATGTCTCTGGATTGCTCCAGGCTCTCATCTCAGCGGAGTACACAGACGTTATGTCCGAAATAAGGATCCAAAGTCAGAGGAATTGTTGATATACGACTCCCCGTCTCCATGTTATTCTCTGAGTACTTTTCGACCAGTGCCAGTCCGCAAAGGAACTTGCATTTTAATTCACGGTCTTGCGGTCCATTTATCAAATCAAAATCGAAGTGAAACTTCCAGACATGCGTACACTTTTCATGTCATTGAAACTAAACATGTGCATTATATCAAAGACAACTGGCTATCACCGCCTAAAGAAGGATTCCCCTTTTTATACAAAAATTAGAATTGCATCGAGAGTAAATTTCAGTCTCGATGTTGATTAAAACGAAAATCGACTGTTAAAGGTACGGCTGTGTTATACTTTTATAATCTCCAGTAATAATAAATCTACTTGCAATCACTACATTACTATTCTCGTTTTTTTAATACTTATAATTTCTAATTATTAATTACATTTCAAGTTTTTAGGCTTACGAAAAATTTTCAAGACACTTTCAATGATAAATTTTTTATTTTATAACAATTTCGTACAAAACTAATGCATTTTGCATTATTAGAAATAAAATTTACATTTTTTACAAGTTTAAATAAACATACTGTTTCAATAACATACCAACTACTTTTTTTTATCTTTTTAATGGCATCTAACTTGTAACATGTAATTGCATTAAATGCATGGAGATGAAATAATTAAATAAAATATTAATTTTCAAAAATGTTTATAATATTGAAGAAAATACACAACTGAGAGTAAATTTTAGGCCAATTTTTTCCTTTTCTTTGACTTACTTTTAATTTTGTATTATGCTTTGAATGTTAGAAATTTAATGGAAAAATAAAACTTTTTAGTAACTTAAATTTGAACGTATGTAATGATAATACTGCTTTAAAAAGCAAAATGATAGATAATCGTATCCAGTCCAAGAATACCTGACTTTCTTGACTCTTTGAGACTGCAAGGTTTTCGGTTTTAATAAAATACTAACAAAACTCACTAAACTTATTATTTACACCTGAAACTCGCCATTCGGCAAAATTGCTGACTCAGGTCTTGTAACTGCATTAAGCCTCTTTTCATTATATCTTGTTTAGTTTTTATCAAGTAATAAACATCAAGAGATGTTATTTCCGTGTTTGATTTGTTGAATTTGTCAGGTAAAAATGTTATTAAAGCTTCCGTCAAAGCATTTATAGCCTTCTCATCGGGTCTTAGTCCATTTAAATCTTCCATCGCTCTAAAAGTAAGACAAAAGTATTTTAAAATTTTGATTTAACATAATGTAGATAAAATAGTGAAGCTACATACAAGCTTAAAAGTTGCAGCAATTGATTTAAATTTGCCGCCAGTATTGGTTGATAGTGCTTCACAAAATTTGGATCAGTAAGTTTCTCAGTCTTCTCGAAAATAAATGAACAAGGCATATCAACGGCTTCTGCAGCTACGCCACTGAAAAGAAAAAATTATAAGTACACTCATTCATGCATATTTATTTCAGAGTTGTTCAAAAATTGGAATTTTTACATGGACAAAATCCATACTAACTTTTGTAGAGAATAGAATTTTTTTAAACTTGAACATTTATCTACATACTCTTAATATTATATTTCTTACCAAAAATCGCGAGTGAATGCATACACATTATTGAAATAATCCAACGCAAGTTGAGCTCTGTCATTTTGTCTCGCAACATTGCCTTCACAACCAATTTCATCTCTTATTCTCTTCTCGGAAATTCTTTTAGTTTCTTCCAAGCATCTTTTTCTTAAAACCTGATAAAAAATGGTTTAAAATTAAGTTTACTATATTACCTTAAATTTTAATATTAAAAAAGTTGGAAAATTGTCTATTTACATCCATTTCCGCTGTTGTTTTGTTGAGAAGATTTGGATATTTATGCTGATTGAGTGTTTGCATCAAATCACTACATCTTCCCATGAAATAATTCACGTTTTTTAGTTTTCTACCCCCTGCTGAAATTTCACATATTAAATTATTATATTATTATTAAATAACTAATTGTTTTAGAAATAAATTCTTTGCTCAACTAACCAGGTGGATTGTTAATATTCTCAAGTAACTCTTTAAGAATTAAATCGGCTATTCTCATGAATGATTCACTGACAGCTGCCATCCAATGTTTAATCGCACATTTAAGAACGTCTACCGTTGACCAGGGAGGTCTTATAATTGTGTACCGTTCCCAGCCATCTCCAAATAAATTCCGCATCTCTGAAACAACTATTGGAGAAAGAAATATTCGCAGTTGATCCTTTACTTTCTCGAAAATATCCTCCGCGATCAATAATTCCTCCTCAAGAGCTGTCGTGGTATTATCATTGTCGTCTGTATGAAATGATGCCGAAAAAGAACTGTTACACGGATTATCAATTCTCATAAATTCGATTTTTTCAAAGTGGTCATCCCGCCCAAGAGACACGATATCATTAATCATGGCTTTAGTACAAAGATTTTTGTCATAAGAAAGTAGCACCTGAAAATATAAATTTCATATAATATTCTCCCTCTTGTAGTGACAAATTTTACGGAAGAAAAGTAAAAATACCACTGCACGTCCTGAATTGCGTATTTGCAAACAACTCTGTAAAATTTCATCATCCGGGGAAACTGTTTGAAATATTTCTTTATTTTTCATAACATCTTGTGGCGTCTGGCCCAAAATACGAGGATGTTTGGCAGAGAAATGTTGATGTAAAAATCGTACTGCTCTCCTCGCTTTTATTCTCAAATTTTCAGATCTCGTTGCCGATTTATCATCCTTGATATAATCTAATTCCTGTAAATGACAATTTTAGCAAAACCTTAACATGAAAAGAAATTGAATAATATTATAAAGACTTACTTGTATAACTGTCCAAGGAACGACTATAAATGGCCTGCCAAATGTTTTAAATATCGCATCTCTGGCTTCCTCAATGACGGGTAAATTTGAGAGAAATACATTAGTATCAACGACGATGTATAATACTTTATCACTTTTTTTATTAGATAATTCAAGCACATTTTCTTGCATTAAATTATCATTATTTATTGATTTAGTGAACAATTGAGATCGAACTTCTTGTACCTGAAATTGAATTCTTTTTAAATTACAATACATCAAATGCTATAAAGAGAAACAAGTCAAAAATAATTACATACCTCATTCATAATCTTTTCATCTTCAATAGGTTCCCATTCCATTTCTTCATAATATGGATCATTATTGTGATTCTTAAGCTTTTCGAAAATAGACTGACGCTCAATTTCTTCGACATTCAGATCGTCCATTTGATTCTTACTTACATTAGCATTCGAACTTTGATAATTTGAAACTTTATCTCTTACATTTTTAGCTCTACGTGTAGCATTCGTATAAAGTGTTATTTCTGGTCCTGGTTCTGAAATTTTCAAAAGAGAAATAATAATTATATATTTTTATTAAAAATAGATCAAACAAAGTGTATAATACCTTTTAAAAATGTTTGCAAGTTTTTGACTGAAGAGACATTCGGGTGGTAATTTTGGCTCACTTCTAAACAAACATTTCTTTCAGGTGTCAACGATTCATTCAACTTATTTTTCAAATTTAAACTTTCTCGAATATCGTCCAGTCTCTGTTTAGCAATATTTTTTGGATACGTAGCATTGGGACTTTGACTTGCAATTTTAAATTTTAGATCTATGATTAAAAAGTTATAAAAATTAAGAATTATTAAACTGTTAACACAATTTGATTGATTTTTTAAGTAAGTATACAATACCTGGCTCTTTCGACGGGATAAATATTGTTCGACCGGATTTACGAGCAGTGCTTAGAGTTTCATTTAGTTCCTTTTTAGAAACTTTTCCTCCAGATTTTGGTTCATCGAGTTCCACTTCTTCACCCAACGTTGGAAGATTTGAAACATTGGCTTCTGATACAGAATTAGTTTGACTTGAACTTGAAAGTCTAGATTTACGTCTTGTAATAACTTTACTTGATTCTAATTTTTTAGGTGAATTCAAAGGTTTTTCTGTTTCAGTTTTTTTAAGTGAACTCTTAGTTGAAGAAACAGTTGAATCAGAAGTTGATGACGAAGAAGTAGAAGAGGACTCTGAATTTGAGCTTGAACTTGAAGACGATGAATTTGAACTTGATGATTGAGTTGTACTTGTTGCAGATTTCTTGGAAGATACACTTTTTTTTGTTGCTTTTCTTTCTTTCAATTTTTCATACATTAAACGCATTTGTGGAGTTAAAGTTTCCTCTGCGGGTAGAGAAGCATTAAGGGAAACACTTTTTTCCTTTGTTTCAGTGTTTGAATTAACTGTCGACAGTCTTCGTTCTGGCTTTTTAGGAATAATTTTTGGCATTTCAGAAAATCTCCTTTTTTGCTTTACTGGCGATGACGTTTTTTCTGTCATTTCACAACCTTTAGAATCTTTGATTTCACCAACATTTTCTTTTCTTAATGTTTTTTTATCAGGTAATTTCTTATTCGAACTATCTTCTTTAGTTAAAACAGACTTCAATCCCTTGTTTAAAGTTGCTTGTTTCTGGAGCATTCTCGCTCGAATTTCTCGCATTTGTGGAGTTTCGTTTGTTGTTTTCTGTGAAATTAACGATATTCTGCGTTTTGCTTGAATTACAGGTCTCTCTTTTTCTTGCATCATATCTGGAGTTACTGGCCTTGACTGTACGGGATCCTTTTCAAATTTTCTTTTTTTGGTATTTTCTTTCGACGTCGCCTTTATTAAAGAGATATAAAATTAAAAATTTCATTGAATATTAGAAACACAGTAAAAAAGATTTGTAAATGAATATGATTTATACTAACCTCATTTTGATTTTCAGCAAATGGTAATTCCCACGATGTCTTATTTGTCACCGTATTAAAATAATAGACTTTATCAGGATAACTTTTAGAGGAGCAAACGATCCAATTTTTTGGCAAATTAGACTTATTCATGATTTCTCTGATTAATAAATTTCATAAATTTTAATTTTCGTGCACAGAAAACAAAAATTTGTCAATACGAAAATTCTAACCAAAATAATACAAAAAACAATTCTTCACATGCCAAAAGATCACTTAAAACCACATTTTTATTGAAATATTATTTTATTATTGTCGTCAATTGACGTAACAATATAATTATTTAGAGATTTACGAACAACTTGAAAGAACGTGAAAAGATCAGAATAAAGTTGAACGTAGTTGAATGTAAAGGTCTGTTCATACCTAAAAAATGCAATGGAGTCAAACAGGGTTGGGAACGTAAAATGCTAGCTATATAGTTCTTTTTATAATTATAAATTTAACAATTCTTTACTAATAAATCACATACCTATTTGTTTTATTTGAGAGAATTCGAAATCCAAAACGTTTAATTTTTTAATAAAAATCAAATATTTTTGTTAAAACGAAAATTTTATTTCAAAATATAACAAATTGACTGCAGCGCACCACGAGTGAATTACCTAAACTAAATACTTGCACATTCTTTTCGCTTTTTGCATGTCAAGATTTTCTTGGTATAAATATAATATTACATGTTTTTACTTTCATCTAATCTATTTTCACAATTTTCACATAGTGTTTTAGTTTTGCAAAATATTGGATATTATTAAGAACAATTAAGAAATCGAAACTTTTCAATTCAAGCAGAAGAAAATGAAAAGTTTTCAAGTGCTTTGATAAATTACATTTCAGTGGAAATATGTCCGCTTCCATGATAATATAACACATCTTCAATTTATTTTCAAATAAAAAATTAGTGTATACATTGCACATTGGATTAATTAACAAGTTTTATTTTAAGACAGTAAGTTTTAGTCCTTTTCAATTATTGATAATATAAACAATTTTTATAAGAATCACAAGACCCTCAAAGAGAGATTTTTTTTAAGGTTAGGCAGAAATGTAACTCAAATTCAATATTTCTTATTATTATATTTAATAAAGTAGTTATTTTTACTAGATTTTCAAAATGGATCAAACTTTGACAAATGAATTTCTTGCTGGAAGTAATGGTATCTCCATTATTCGTCGAGAAGATGATGAACTCATCATCTTTACCTCAATTGATGAGGCAACAAGATCCTGGCTAAATTCCTTACACTATATATGGAATTTATGTAAGTTAATTTGTAAAATATTTTTAGTTTTAGTAAACTAAAGTTATATTCTTATTCATTTTTCAGGGAAAAAAAGTCAAGGAGTCACGAAAACATTAACCGATTACTTTGAAACTGCACCGAATCCCTACCTCAGTACTTTACGAATATTAGTCAATACTAATGATTTCTCACACTCAAAAACGAAATCTTCACTTTCTTTTACAAGTAAAATTAAATCAATACTTTACAATATAAATATACATACTTTTTTTTAAAATTATATTATTGGTATTTACTCTCATTTGTTTATTACAGTTATGGAGGATTTTTCAAAGTGGATTGCTCCTCAGAAGGATAATTTTAAAGAATGTTTGGAAGTGGATTTAAAAATAGCTGCTTTTAAATTAGTTTCTAAACAAAAGAATTTGCAGCTTGTAAAAATAGTTGCTGAAACTTATGAATTTACTTCTTGCAATGGATTATTTTACGAAATAATAGAGGTATGAATATGCTATTTCGAAGATTGAAATTCAACGATTTTAAATTTTATATAATTTACAGGCCATGATATGTGATAAAAAATACAAGGAGGCTGCGCAATATGCCGAAATGTTAAATTTACAGTCTCTCTTCGCAGACCCGGAAGTCTTGTTGCTTCCACTTATTTTGCAAAATAAAGTTACAGTTGTGGAAGATTTTCTAGCGAACCAAACCGAAATTCAAAGAAACTTGGTTCAATATTTGGACAGTCTTTTGGCTCCGGGGAAAAACATACAAGTTACATTAGATCGCTTCATAACGTAAGTGTATAATTAATACGTAGAATAGAAATCCAAGTATTATCCATACAATAATTATTAATATTTCAGGAAGAATAATATTCCAGACGTAAAAATGTCAACTGCACAATTGAGACCAATGTCGAAGTTAGTTGCTCGACTTGCTAAACTTTATAAACTTCCTCCTGAAATTTGTCCATACTTGAATCAAAAGCGGGGCGAAGGAGCTCTTCAATTTTTAATTTACAAACGATTTGTTGAAGGCAGTCTCAGTAAGTAATTATTTTTAATAAACACTTATTAATTAAATTAACTGCAATTTTACTTGTGCAGGTGCAGAGAGTTGGAGAGAAATGGTTAAAGAAGCTGTCGGCAATGATGAGCGATTGCACATAGAAGTAGTCAAGACGTTATCATTCACGAATGTTAAAGAAGCTCTTTACTTTGCTAAATTGCTGAACGTTCCTGAAAGTGAGTGGCCCTGGTCCGTTCAACAAATGGAAAAGGAAAATCCAAATGGTAACTTATTTAATAATTTTGCTTATTTATAAGTGATTTCAGATATTACGAATACGAATATAATTATTTTCGTTTAAAGTTGATCAGGGTGCAAGCAGTGGTGCGCAAGAAAACTGGGACGTAGATGCCTGTACCACTTATTACAATTTAAAGTTGCCAAGAGATAATATTAAACTAGTTAGTGACAGAAGAACTTTTGAAGAGTTTCTTGACAGAATAATGAAAGGGACAAATCTTGTTGGCATTGATTCCGAATGGAAGCCAAGTTTCGGTAGATATTTTCATTTCTAATAATTTCCAATTGAAATAATATATAAAAGTCCATAATGTTTACAATTATTTACAGGAACTAAAAAGTCGGAATTAGCGTTAATTCAAATTGCAACGGAGACAAATGTCTACATAATAGACACAATAAATTTGGGAAATGACTTCAAAGACCTTTGGTCTGAATTAGGATTAGTTTTGTTTGAAAATAAACATATACTAAAATTAGGTTTCGGATTGGCGAATGACATTGCAATGATGCGTGAGAGTTTACCAGCGCTTTCAAATGTGAGAGCTTGTGGGCAAGGTTACATGGATCTACTCCATGTTTGGAGAAAACTTGTCAATGAGTACGACTTTGAATTTCCCTACGCGGGCGATCCGAATTTTTCAAACGAAAGTTTAAGCAAATTGGTGGAGCTTTCTTTAGGTCATCGATTGAATAAATCGGACCAATTCTCCAACTGGGAGAGAAGACCTCTGCGAGAGAGTCAAATTATTTATGCAGGTTAGTAAAAAGTGAAGAAAATTTCGAATGTAGTTACAATGTTGTTTATTAAAGAATACACTTTTTCATTTTATAGCTTTGGATGCATATTGCTTATTAGAAGTTTATGATGCACTTGCAAAGCAATGTGCGCAAATGGAGATTGACTTTCATGAAATATCGGCACAAGTTCAACACATTCCGCACAAGTCTCCAAAAAAAGCTTTTAAAAAAGCCACACCGAGCCGAGTATGTCATTTAATGATTTATTTTTTATATTGTGTTGCAGATACCTTGATATTATCAATTATTTTTAGAATGAAGTTAGTGATCAAACTGAAGCCGTAAGTCTTCCGGTGCAAGCGTCTCGAATGCAGCAAATGAAAAGCGCCTTGGTTAAGGTTGAAGGAGTCAATGACATTCACCCTGAATCTAGGACTCTGCCGACAGTTGCTCATCAGTGGCGTGCTGTTTGTGATTCAATGCTGGGAGCACTAGCCAGACAGCTTCGAATGTGTGGCTGCAATTGCGTTTACATAGAACACGATCGCGGTGGCGATCAATCGATCAAAGTGGCTTTAAGCGAAAATCGAGTTCTACTTACACGAAACAGTTGTTATGAAAAAGTAAGAGCAATTCTTATTTAATTCCATTCTACTCGAATTGCAAACTATTTTAATAAAACCCCAAACCTTTTTTCAATTACAGTTTGCTCAAAATGTACCAGCTGGTTCTTGCTACAGAGTTGTAACTAACAAAGTCGAAGAACAGCTCAAAGAAGTATTAAATCATTTTAACATTACAGTAACAGAGAGGGACATATTTAGCCGTTGTCAAGTTTGCAATCAAGATGAGTTTGTCCGTGTGACTGAAGCCACAATGAATATTCTTTTTGACAGGTAAATTTTGCTCAAAGCTCAATTTCAATTTCGTTTTTAATTTATTCGCATCCTTCTTTTATTTATCTCCATTTCCTTCTAGTTATATGAAGATGATGCGAGGTCGTAATTACCGAGTGCTGCCAGGTCCTTCCATTGCCAGTGACCAGTTCGAAGCAGAATGTGAGGAAGTTTCTATCCCGGAAAATTGCGAACTTGATCCGAGTAGAGGAAGATTACGTCAAAGTAAGCACGATCGTACTTGGCGACTCAGCGAAAATACTTTGGATCTTGCACAGTGTCGAACTAAGTATGGAGTTTTAATTAAAATCGACAAGGTTCCATCGAAAGTTGTCAAAAATGTGAAAAGCTTTTACATTTGCGAAAGTTGTGGCAAAGTTTACTGGGACGGATCGCATATGGAACGAGCTCTCAATGGAGTATTGAAAGATGTCATTGTTCATAAGTGATCATAGTTTTATGTCTATAGTATTTTGTTAAAAGATATAAAATACAAAATTGTGTTCAATGAAATGGTGATTTCTAGGTATGTATAAACTTAATGCGTAACTAAGTTTTGTTTATTTTTTCATCAATGAAGAAAGGTGATATAAATTTTATTTTTCTTTTGTTATACTTACTTCATAAAAACTATTAAATACTTATTCTATTAGTAAATTCGTTTCTATTTGAAAAATACAAAAAAGTCCATTCCTATTTGTAAGATTAATTGAATTCTTCTTTTTCAATTTATCGTAGTCAAAAATTAAATATCAGTGTAATGAAATATAAAAAATTTTCAATTAGAAGCTTTAATACACTTAAGGATAAAGTATTTTGAAATGAGTAGACAGATTTTTATTCACTCAAGTTATAGAATTTGAATTTATCTTTTATAGTATGTAAAGTGCTCAAAATATTACTTCTTCTATATAACTCGTGTATTCAGCGCTAAAGAGTTGAGCATAAGATTGGTAACAGGGTTGCTTGTCAATACTTGATCATTTTTTTATACAAGCTTTTTTTCCAATATTATTTTGGGAAGTAAAGATCTGTCTCTATAGTAAGATGTAAAATTATTTTAATTTACATAAGATATATTTTAATTACACGTCATATAAAAAAATGTAACACCTATACACATAATGTACATAAAATGCGTATACAATGTTGCTTTTAAATGATAAAGTGATAATTGAAAGCTACAAAAAGCTAAGTGATATAATTATATGAATTTATGTCAAGACAAAGAACAATTTGCGAAAAAAAATATCAAATGTACACTCTACTCTAAATAAAACAATTACTTTGCATTTAAAAAATTTCATTCATATTAACTTTGTACATACATAATATATTTATATACATATATATTTATGTAATTTTTTTATTTTTAAAAAAAAGCTCAACAACAAATGTATATCAATACAATAATTATTTACTGCTTTAAAAAATAAATAAATTTTTACAAACTAAACAGGCGATGGTTGTGGAGATGGAGCTTCTGGTTCTTGTGGGTCTTCAGAGTTTTCTAAATCAATTGGAGTGTCTAGATCCGCAGCATCAACCAACTGCTTCTTTCCAAAAGGAGGAGGTCCAATTAACTTTTCAATATCTTTGTAGGTTAGCACCTCCCGTTTTAAGAGTTCTTCGGCAACCTAGAACAGAATATACATGAGTAAACATTCAGTCATAAAAATAGAGGTAAAACTTGTGCGTATTACTTTTTGCAATTTTTCCTTATTTTCCGATAGCAGTTCGTTAGTACGTTTGGAAGAATCGGCAATTAAGCGCGATACTTCGACATCTATTAGATTTCCCAGAGATTTACTGTAGGGCTTCTTTGGCTGTAAAATACAAAATTTTATACACAGTTTTTTAAACATGTAGGATAAGAATTTAAAAAGAAATAAAAAGATAAAATGCGTACACCACTTAGACTGTCAGGGTGAAAAGAAACTAGTCCAATGTTAGAGCTCATTCCGTACTCACGAACAAGGGAATATGCAAGTTTAGTTATTGCCTTAAAGTCATCTTTGTTTCCAGTTGTGCATTTTTCAAAAATTAGATTCTCAGCAACGGACCCTCCAAGCATTACACACATTCGATCCAAGAGTTTTTCTTTAGAGTGGAGATATTGCTCCCCACGAGCCTGTTGAGTGAATCCAATTGACTTGGATCTTGGGATAATTGATACTTTTAGTAGAGCGTCCGTGTGTTCTAAAAGCCACGCCGTAAGAGCACGACCCGTTTCACGGTATGCTATCATTCGTTTTTCTGCCTTAACCATCGAATTGCTTTTTAATTCAGCACCTCCGAGTACTCTATCAATAGCACGTAATAAATCATTTGAATCTACTTTCTTCTTTTTATTCCTAGCTGCGAATATGGCACCTTCATTGCAAATGTTTGCTATATCAGCGCCTGAAATTAATTCAAACAATATTGTAAAGTGATGCTGTGAAAAAAGAAAAAATATATTTTCAAAAGATTCAAGTACCACTGAATCCAGGAGTCATGTGAGCCAGTTGCAAAGAATAAGCACTCGGCTCCTTGACTAACTTGATGCCTTTAAGATGTTGCTCGAAAATCTCCCGCCTCTCTGAGAGAGTTGGAAGATCAATTAAAATATGTCGGTCAAACCTGCCCGGGCGCATCAAAGCTTTATCAAGAACTTCTGCTCTGTTAGTGGAAGCTATGACAATTACGTCACTTCTTGAACCAATTCCGTCCATTTCTACTAAAAGCTGATTTAAAGTTTGTTCACTTTCTCTATTCCCTTGTCCTGCAGCTGCTCCTTCCAGACGTCTTCCGCCAATTGAATCAATTTCATCGATATAAATGATGCAAGGTGCTCTAATGCAATTATACAAATGTACATTATAATACATTAGGTAAAATTTAATTTCTAATAATGTTTAAACGTACCGTTTTTTGCCATCAAGAAATAAACTTCGAACTCGAGCAGCACCAACTCCACCAACCATTTCAATAAATTCAGTTCCATTTATAGATAAAAAGGGAACATTAGCTTCTGTCGCTACAGCTTTTGCCAACATTGTTTTACCACAACCTGGTGGACCCAAAAGTAAGGCACCTAAAATTAAAATAAATTTTTTAAAAACCATAAAATATTTATTTAATCAATTAAAAATATTACCTTTTGGCACTTTAGCACCAAGTGACTTGTAATGATCTGGATTTTTTAAATAATCAACAAGTTCCATAATTTCAATTTTCGCCTCTTTCAAACCAGCAACATCTGCGAAACGCACGCCTTTTCCACTTCCAGTAAGAGGATCAACTAATGTGAATTTAGCTCGCTTTAATTGATCGAATACATCAAAAGAAAAGGGGGATCGACCTTTCCGTCCTCTGAACAACATGTACATAATACCGGTCAGTATAGCTACGCTGATTAATTGATAAGCAATACCAAATCTGCGATGGTAGGAAATTGGTACTCCATCACCTGCAAACAATTATTTACTATCAAATACAAAATTAAGATTTAAAATTGATTTTTCAAGTTCTGAAAAACGTACCTGCTTTTATTCCAAGAGAATCTTCCACAGCTCTTACTTTCTCTTCAAATCGATCTGGATTTACAATAATCATTTGGTAAGCTTGAATTGGTGATACTGTGCCTTTATATATAGCTTGAGGATGAAGAATTATAATAGCCAACTCTAATTCTGGATCGACAATAATTCGTTGTACTTCTCCTTTTGCAAGCATATGATAAACAAAATCGTTCCAGGAGACTTGCGTTTGAACCTAGAAAAGAAAGAAAGAAAGAAAGAAAGAAAGAAAAAAAAGAAAACATTAAAAGTGAGATACGTGTTAATAAAAATATTAATTAAACCTACTGTAGTTTCATCAGCTCCTGACTTAGAATTTAAAAAAACGGACACCACTAACAACTGAACAAATATTACAAATGAAAATTTCAATATCAGCTGTATTAATTTATCTTTATCAGGCTCTTTATCCGACTTTTCGTTATTGGAACTTCCAGTGTTTTCTTTGCTAGAATCAGATGAAGTACTTTCAGATGGTTCACCTTTCGAAGATTGTTGTCTATTACATTTTACAGTTACTACACTAAAATTTCTTGACACTTTAATTACTTTCTGTAAAAATATTTCATCTATTCCACTTCGTCGTAATAAACAACATACCGCCTGGTATTCTTTTTTCAAATGTTTCAATGACTGAAAAATTAAATAATTATTAAAATTACAAAATTTCTTTTTTACAACATAATCATAAACATGTTAATAAAATTTGTAACAATTAACGCTATTAAACTTACTTGCTTTGTAACATGTAAACATCGACATATTTGCAAATTGTTCCATGATTTAATAAAAATTCGATCTTTATTGAAGGTATTTTCTTGTACAGAGTGTTTAAAGGAATTGCCAACAACATTTTTTTGTTGTACAAAGAGCCGGCTTGAGAATTTTGCTAAAGTTTGCATATTGTTATAACCTATATGCTATATACTTCAATGTAATGATTCCATTTAGTTAGTTTTAACAATTTCGTAGATTAAAAATAAAACACTCTTTATTAATGAATTATATTTCAAACTATTTCAATTATTTTTCTGTCGTGGTTTTTATGAAATAACATTTCTTTATATATAAATGCATTTTTTACACATATAAAAATATGTTTTTCCGTTTATGTTCATAGGTAAGGTTAGGACTGCTCGACAGGTGCTGCTATCTGGTAAAAGGTTCTGGTATCAATCTCACAACACGCATGCGCAAAATAAATAATTTCCGTATTTTTAAATCTTATGAATTTTTAAATTCATAACATAAATTTAGCAAAACCATTGTACTGAAGTTTTTAATTGTAAAAGAATTTTGTATGACTATTATAATTTATTTTCTTATATTTAATATAAAAGTATAAGTATATTTTTATTAAATAAATATACCAATAACATTTGAATAATAAAAAAATAAAAACTATTGATGCAAAAATTAAAAAAATTATTTTTGCGCGCCTAATTTCAAATGACCACGTGTTTCTAAAATCTCTTTGGTAAAAAATTTGAGTTTACTAAAAATTAAAGAAAAATTAAATTTAAAGTACATTTGTCTTGTCTTTCTATGTAATTTATAGGAATAGATGGAATATAACAGAACAAACAACGCAATCGCATTGCGATTGTGAAATATGCATTTAGATGCTATTGCAGAAAGAGCTTAATCATGCAACAACTCGACGAGCGTGTGAACGGTGTGAACGCCCACATTTATACCAGTCGGCTGGCAGTGATTGTACCCATTGCTACTTGACTGGCATCAGTTTGTCGCGCGCTCGCCGTCAGGTTAGTGAATAGTGTATCACAATTACATTGTTTTGATCTCAAAAGTAATTATTTTCATTACTGCCATAATTGTGACTAATATATATTACTGTAAGGTATGTTAGAGCCGAATTATTCGGTTGTTCAAGCCACACGGATGGTACTTTAGTAATGCGCATGTCAGAATCAACAAAAGAAAAGGTGAACATAACCTAAATTTCAGAACAATCAAAAGTTTACGTTTACAGTTAAAAATTGTTATTCCGTTAACTATTAATTTCATTGCTTATAACTAGTGTGAATAAAAAATATCGGTGCTAATTTAGGAAACTATTTCCGTGTCTCTTTAAATCATGTGTTTTAAAAATCGCTTTTTAATCATAAATTTTAATTTCTTTTCTGAGTGCGGTTACTTCGAGAGTGCTATTTCATTAAACCGTGATCAAAATACCAATACTAAGTTATTAATTTTTTATCAGTTTTTTGTTAATTGAATCAATATTAAAAATAAATTCAGAATTGCTCTTATAATTATATACGCGATCGTCTGTATTAAAAAAAGTTGTTATTTTCTAGCCAAGTTATAAGTTTATAACACGTGCGGTTCGGGAGTGCTCGAAATTATTAAAACGCGAGTGAGATTTTTTCTGTGCCTCAAAAAGATGACAATTTATTGCACCGCATCAACTCCAGATTTGAAATCCGGTATCGGCTGAGATTAATTATTGTTGTAAGTTTCCAAATTCAGATTAATTATCGCTTTATATTAGAGGAATATCACAAAGAATTTATCATTTCTTGGAAATTTAATTCGTGTTCAAATTTGAAATTAAAGATCAAATATTTTTAAATTAAGGAAGAATCTGATGTAGAATCAAAACAAAAGTTTTAGTCCAATATGTCATATAATTTCGTATAATTTAAAAGAAAAAGACAAATTAGATTTTAAATTCGTTTTGGTGGAAAGGAGAAGAATTTAATTTTGAACATTTAAAACGATTGAAAGTTGCATTTGAATAAAAATTACAATTTTCTGTCAATAAAAAACATTTGTTATATTTTAGGTTATGTTACTTAAATCATTTATTATTGACAAGAAAAGAATAATTTGTATTCGAATATAACTTTAAATTCTACCAAATTATGACATTGGACTAACTTTTGTTCCGATTGTTTGTCGGATTCTTCCTTAATAAATGTTTCAATTAACTTGACTAAAATTATAATAATAAAGGTAATTATTTTTCTTGAAATGTTTCAGATTGATTGTGGACAGGATGGAGTATGTAAATAAGGTATTTACTTATTTGTTTCGAATGTCTTCCTTGCAAAAAATATATTATATTTTAGTGTTCTTAATTAATTGCGTCAAGTATTTCTCTGCAAACAAATATATATCGCAGTTTTTTAAAAAATGTTTAATTTCTGATTATATGTAGGAAACTAGGAAAATGGAAATATTCTGCAATTTTGATTAGAGTGTAAAGGAAAGGTTTTATACATTTTTCCAGTAGCGATATTTTTCGCACAGTTTGTAATATCATCGTCAGTCAACCTGCTTTTATATTCGGAACATCGACAGTGTTGGGACTTTGATATAAAACTTAAGTTTTATATCAAAGTATTTTTAATTAGAGGAAAAACCTTGAAAATGAATTTTACACTATACAGAAATAGTGAAAAATGCACATTTCTCTTACAAAACAGAACCAGGATATAGAAGGGGAACGAGAGAGAAAAGATATGGAAGCCAGCGTGAATATTTTTACCCAAGCGCTGTTAACTACACTCTGTTGTTTTATCTCACGAACGCGGCTTTTCCACTAATACAGTTACAGTTCTTTGGAATATAAGTTTTAAGGCGTGTTTACATAGCGTCAGGGCGTGTCAGCCAGGGGCTTCCTATCTAATGGATCGCTTCTTCGTTCGTCGGTCCGCACTTTGTGAAGTGCACGAGTTATGATAGCATGATACCTTCAAGATCGCGTTTTCAATAAGCACTAATCATTGCTTTCTGCCTTTTCTGTGGTTCCAACTATGGCTGAAAATGTTTGTCTGTATATCATACGCAAACATTGGCATATTTCACAAACATTTTCCATTCGCTATTTCTATTTGTGCTTATCTCATAAAAATTTATTAATTAATTTATTACTAAATTATATTTGCCTCGAAAACCGCTTGTGGTGTCGATTTCTTCATCTATGATCTCTATTCGGTTATCCTATTAAAAAGAAGATCATTCTCAGAGGTACATTTACAAAGAACAATATTTATGCTGGCATTAAAAAGCGGGCTCACTTTCTCACTGTTCATCTCAACGCACAGGGGTCATGTTTATAGACGTATAGTTGTCCGTTGTCAACATTATATACGTTTATCAAAGACATCTTCATCTCATTTCATTATTATATACTTTCTCTGTAAATACTCAATTAGACTCGAGTATCTTCAAATAATTTCATTTGAAAACTATATATATACACTGAAAAAATAAAAAGTAACTTTGAAATTGCTCTCTAAATTTTCATAAGTGCATATGTATACTTATTTAGGTTTCAAAAGTCTTTCGCATAAAAAATAAGTGAAATTTTCCTATTGCTAATCTAATTTTTTTTTATAGAAGACTTCACTTATTTAAATTTAGAGAGTGATGCATCAACTATTTATGTAAAATTTTTATTAATACCAATTATACAGTATTTATTTATTTTTGTTTAAAAGCAGATTTCCAACCCATGTTGGAAATTAGAATTAAAGTTTTCACCTGCAATTTTTGAAATGTATATTTATATAAGTATATAATCTTGAAGTAACGTGAAAAATGAAGTTGAAAAAATTGACATCAAAGTCAGTGTATTGAGATATCTTCTTTTAAGTGAAGTGAAGTGTTCAACGGGAACAAACAAACCAATTCGAATAATTTGTTTTTGTACGCCGTCTAAGTAGCCAACTAACACATCACGATTTAAACAGTCTTACAAACATGTATTATATGCTTGCACATATGAATACACGAATACACAAAAAGACGCGCACGAGACGTTGCGTAAGACAGAGCGACAAAAACATTTATTTTGTTAAACAACAAGCCATGTTGTGTTAGGTTTGCCAAAATACCAAAACAATACAATACTGAGTCGTATCGTCAACGATGCGTTTATATGTGTGCACCTCTCATTCATACGCGAGAGGACATTTTCATTTCATTCACAATTTTACAACTTTACAACTGGCGAATAATTATAGTTCCAAGCGTCGATCCTTTAATTATTCCGCGCAAATGCGCAATTAAGCAAATAATTAAATTTATATATTTTCCAAAGAAAATAAGGAATAATTTTATCCAAACATTTGAGAAAATTAAAACACTTATATTTAACATAATAGGAATTTAAGTAAATGATAAGGAATTTTGTATTCAATTACGATGTTATCGATGAAATTAAAAGACGATAATCTCATCGATAGCAAGGAAATGCCTAGGGGTAGAAACAAAATCTTAATTTTTTAAATTTAGTAAACCTGATGCGAAATGAGAGGGACGAGAGAGGAAGGTCTTGGATTAATTTCCGAGACTTGCTCTGTTATATATATACTTTTTTATGTGAGCTACAACTTCTTTGCAGGTAATCGTCGTCACATAAACAAATTCCAACACATCTTAAACTAAAATCTTAGTGAATGGCGCGAGGGAAGGGAGGGGAACGATGCAAGAACAAATTTGTTATTACAGATGCTTTTCGTTCGGTATTCGAGGTTGTATTTCAGGCACAAGAAGGGAAGCCAATGGCTCAGAATCCGGAAGTTGATGCACGAGGAGCAATTCCATAGTGAAAGACATTTATCCATAGTCACATTTGACAACTGACATTTATATATAGTACCAGTAAATGTTTTAATTCTCCAATATGTTTAACCCCAAAAGAGAATTTGTCAAATAAAAATTGTCATTGTTCGCACCAATCGAGTATTTTTACCATTTTTACTGAAGAAAAATCTATTTGATTCAAATAACCCATTACTTATATTATCAAATAAATATTTTATTTAAATGAAATAAATTGTATTTGTACCAATAGTATTTGAAGCAAATATCATATTTAATTGATTTCAATAAAACCTTATTTGAGTGAAATAATTTGTTCGAGTGTTGCATGACAAATGAATCTCTTAAATTTATTATATGATTCGTATATTCTTGATTGAGATGTGTATATATATATATTATTGTGCCGGCGCGGCAATTGTCATTTGAGTCATTTCCTGCTTAAAATGAAGGAAATTGAATTCACACCTTCTCGCAACAATGTTCGAATTTGGAAAGCGAGATAATGTCGATAACAATACGTAGCGTGCAAAGCGAAA